AGCAATGACAGGCTATCCAACGCCACAATAAACCTGCGATTGTTCAAATCGGGGAAGGAGACCATGCAATGGGATCCTAAGGCATTTATTGCTCGTATTCAATATCCCAACAAACAGGACGATGCAAATTTTCAGAAAGTGTACGGTGTTCAGAGCTCTGACATGATTGCTGAATTGATACGTCTTTACAAAAGCAAAGAGAGTCTTATCCTAACTTTGAATGCACTTTGCAAGATGGTGAAGAATCGATTTCCTGACGCGTTTCAATACTATAACGCAGTGAGAAAGGTACTTAACAAGCAGAATAAGGAGGAAAAATTGGATAATGGGCTTACGCCTGAAGAAAAGAAGAAATACATTAGCTACCAAGAACTGATAGCGGTTCCACAAAAAGTCAAGAAGATTATCATGGATACATATGGCGAAATGGTCCTATCGAACAATGAGCTAAGCAAACCTACCAAAGCGAAACGAATTGCATATCTACGCCTTATTTTTGACTGTGTCACACTATATCTCAATGTCAATTATCCTCTGCGTCTCATATGGCCCTCAGTCTATCTGAAGAAAGTTGATAGTGGTAACTACCTCCAAGGAAACGAAGCTCTACTCGAATAATTTTAAGAACGTTCGCCTCATGGGTGCGCAAATTATTGATCTAGACGGAACAACGAACAATCTTATTGCTAAAGAATTAGCAATAAGATTGATCGTTGTTCAGGCTCTCTCGGGCAAACACCAACATATCTACTTTGGCGTGTTTACAACAATAGTCCAGGCGAATATGACAGTAATAATGGATTCAGTTCAGTTCTCTTAAAGCTCTTTGTAATACAATGGAAAGCCAACGAGCATGAACATGATCCGGCACATTGTTAAATCACATCTGATCCAATCACCAACATATGCGAAGCTTACTAATAGCGAAAAGCATGACCTTCACGCTAAGCTACTCCATAGCACGTTTGCTGCCAATACGAGCTACAACAAGATTGCAAACAGATTCACAGCATCAGAGGTTAGCGAGGAAGCTCCCGACTTTTCATATGAGCCAGCGCCTCAACCTCCATCACCTGCTAAGCCGGATACGTTCCATACCCCGCTACTCCATTCAAATATGTTGCCGAGGCTGTGATAAGCGCTCCGTTCATGTAAAAGCTGGTGGAACTAAAAGACCCGCTCACATCAAGTTGATAACCTGGAGAAGTGTATTGATACCGACATTACCTCCACTTTAATCGAGAGCCTTCTCGTATTATTAGCATCCAGGTATAGATCGCTTGCAGTACTTGATCGAATATCGCATGCGCCACCAGCACTTGCATTACCGATGGTGAGCGTGCTTACAGCTGTTGAGTTAGTAAATAAAGCAACATTGCCTCCAGCACTCTGTGTGTGAGTGATACCTGAACCCGACAGATTTAAACTAGATAATGTACCAACGCTCGTCATGTTTGGTTAAGCTGGAGTAAGCAAAGTTCCAGTCAATGATGTTGCGCTGAGAGAATTTATTCCAGCGATATTTAGGCTACTGTCAACAACCAAAGCTTTGTTTGCGGAAGCTATCCCCGCAGTGATACCGGTGATAGATGTTATATCAGCCGAAAAGCAACTGCAACTCCATTGATGTTAATTGCGGTAGCGTTTATAGATCCATCTACTTCTAACTTATACGTTCCAGATGGTGCTACGGTTCCAATTCTCACGTTCTGGCTAAGGTCCATCCATATTGCAATTGCATTGCCTGAACAGATACGAAAAGGATGTTGCGAGATTGCTCCGAACCTAGGCGCGATGTTTGACATTTCGAGCACACAGTTCATTGGCGTAGTAAGACTGTTTGTCCAACGCGCATAGCTTGCAATGTGACTCCTGACAGTGAACTGAGATCAACAGCAGCTCCTGCAATCGTCAACGATCCACAGTCGAGATTACCTGCTACAGCCAATGAACTGAAGACTCCAGTCCCACCGAGTTTCTGGTATCTCTTTCCAGCGGTGGCGATGGTCAAGTAATCATTTGATCCAATGCAAAAAGCGCTATTGAAGACGGGACTATTGGTTGTTGGTGGAAGAGAAGACACTTTGATTACTTGTATATACAATCACAGAAATATGATTAACTTCTTGAAGCGATAGATAAAAAAAAGCTCAAGAAATATCCAAAGAATGACCATTTTGAATTACCTTTCAGGCTCTGCGAAGCGAGTCCATCGGGCAGTGGCAAATCCAACACCGTCCTCTATACCATAGCTCAGCTTAGCAAATGCTTTACAAAGATCGTCATCTGCACGAAAACGAATGAGACGCTCTACGATCATCTCAAGGATACCATCGATGACGTCGAGATTGTTGAAAATGGAGTAGTTCCAGCAATGAGCGATTATGACTCTGAGACGAGCAAACTCGTTATATTTGATGATTTGGTGCTCGAACCAAAGAAGACTCAAGCTCAAATCGGTCAATACTTCATCAGAGGCCGCAAACTAGGGTGGGTATGATCTACATTAGTCAGAGCTACTTTGGTATTCCACAGACGATTCGCATCAGCAGCCAATATGTGGTTCTCGGCCGTTGACCCAACGAGATCTTGCAATTATTTGCCGCGACTTTCCAAGTGATATGCCAGTCAAAGAATTTATTGATCTCTACAAGCGAGTAACATCTGAGAAGATGAGCACTATGTTAATGGACATCATCGAAAGAAAGATCTATCGCAATGTCATCGAGTATATCTGCGAAAGGTAATCACATCGTCGAGTCATATTTTTTTTGTCTCATTGGCAAACGAATACACACGTTAGGATCGATAATCTGCAACGGACGCATGTCTTAATCATAGAAGCTCAACGTGATCTCGTTTTTGGTTCCTTGCATCGGACAATATGCAATACCTTGACCTTGTGACGTGGTAAAAAGTCCGCCGAATCCTACTTCAGCGCTTGTGGAGGTGTGGGGAACTAAATTGTTGCTTGCAATTGGGTTATAAAGATTAGACAGCCCTAGAATTACAGCAGCGACAGGAGGCGTGACGTTGCAGTTGATGGCATAAACGCTCGTAGTTTGAGCAGCAAAATATACACCATTGGATAGCCCAACGATAGCTCCAAATCCAGAGTTATCAATTTGAAGCTGAGGACTGTATGCAGTGGCTGGCATTGCTGGTAAGCCGCTTGCTGCTGTGTATCCAGTGACATTCTTTACATACAGCATCATGAGCTGAATCGCATACGCGGATGGATTCTCAACACACGAGACGAAGTAGTAGTATTCACCGGTCGTGTTGTTGGTCAGATACAAGTTGTTTTGATTGTTGACGTTCAACAAAACTGGAAATGACATTTTGATTTGCTCATATATACACAAGTGAAGAAAATGCCTCGACGTAAAAAAATTCGCAGGGAGATGATGCCACAACCAATGGATATTGACGGTGATGGTGTCACCTGCGGAACTGTTAAGCCGCTTGGACCCTCCAAGACAGACCATGGCTCCACAAATATTGAGACTCTGACGAAGCAACTGGAGAAGGTAAATGTTAGCCAACTCGCCAAGGAGCAAAAAAGGCAAAGAAGCCCAAATACATTGATACGAGTAAGCTACTCACCTTCAAGCGTGACTCTAAGAGAGCTGCATCATCCGCTTGAATTGGGTATAATAATTTGCTGAAAATACTCCTTTCTCATACAGCTTGTCAAGAAGTTGCTTCATTTCCTTTTAATGCCTGGATTATCATCTCCAATAGCTGTAGCTCCTTGTAGCATTTTCAAGCGTTTACTACACCATCCAGCTGCTCATTGTACGCCGAATCAAATTCTCGTGACTTGATATGACATTTGCCCAAGCAATATCTCATAAAGTCTTGCTCAGGCTCGTCGAGAAGACTTAAGAGATGCTTGTCGAAGCTCTGCTCATCTTCAATCAGGTGCCATAAATCAACGAACGCATGAGCGACGAGCATAGTCTTCAGATTTACAAGTGTTTTTCCGCTTCGTAGACGCGCGTGCAATCCATTGAAAATCATAACATGTGGACCCCGTTTGGACGTCATTTGGATGTGATTTGCTTTTTATATTGGGTGTATTCATATTACTTCTCGATTTTAATTTCAAGTGATTTATCACTGCCTGTTGGAGTGAAATTTCCATGAAATATGCGTTCCCTACGTGCTTTAGAGCGTGTTTGCGGCTTAGCAGGTGATGGAGGTTGAGGCGCTGGCTCATATGAGAAGTCAGGAGCTTCCTCGCTGACCTCTGATGCCGTGGATCTGCTTGCAATCTTATTGTAGCTAGTATTGGCAGCAAACGGGCTATGGAGTAGCTTAGCGTGAAGGTCATGTTTTTCTCTATTAGTAAGCTTCGCATATGTTGGTGATTGGATCAGATATGATTCAACAATGTGACGGATCATGTTCATGCTCGTTGGCTTTCCATTGTATTACGAAGAGCTTTAAGAGAACTGAACTGAATCCATTATTACTGTCATATTCGCCTGGACTATTGTTGTAAACACGCCAAAGTAGCTTTGCTGGTGTTTGCCCGAGAGAGCCTGAAAGAAAATGAAGAAAGTTAGCAATAAGATTGTTCGTTGTTCCATCTAGATCAATAATTTGCGCACCCATGAGGCGAACGTTCTTAAAATTGGGGCGAACGTTCTTAAAATTGTTCGAGTAGAGCTTCGTTCCTTGGAGGTAGTTACCACCATCAACTTTATTCAGATAGACTGAGGGCCATATGAGACGCAGAGAATAATTGACATTGAGATATAGTGTGACATAGTCAAAAATAAGGCGTAGATTATCAATTCGTTTCGCTTTGGTAAGTTTGCTTAGCTCATTGTTTGATAGGAACATTTCGCCATATGTATCCATGATAATCTTCTTGACTTTTTGTGGAACTGCTATCAGTTCTTGGTAGCTAATGTATTTCTTCTTTTCTTCAGGCGTGAGCTCATTATCCAATTTTTCCTCCTTATTCTGCTTGTTAAGTACCTTTCTCACTGCGTTATAGTATTGAAACGCGTCAGGAAATCGATTCTTCACCATCTTGCAAAGTGCATTCAAAGTTAGGATAAGACTCTCTTTGCTTTTGTAAAGACGTATCAATTCAGCAATCATGTCAGAGCTCTGAACACCATACACTTTCTGAAAATTTGCATCGTCCTGTTTGTTGGGATATTGAATACGAGCAATAAATTCCTTAGGATCCCATTGCATGGTCTCCTTCCCCGATTTGAACAATCGCAGGTTCATTGTGGCTTTGGATAGCCTGTCATTGCTCATTTCGAGATCGCGAATAATTATTAGTTTTAGTTCATCTAGATTCTGAGTTTTGGATTTAAGCTTTGACATGTTGTTTATTTCGTGCTTATATATAAGTGATCGCAGCTAACGCGATTGCTTCGAAATCTGCTAAGACGTATAAAGAGTTTCGTGTCAGCCTTAGCCACGCGCAGGCCTTAAAGGTTTTGTATGGAAAGCCTGTACGATTGACGCATGCTCAGCTTAATGCTGGTCCTACCCACTATATTGGACCCGAAAAGTACAAGAAGCTTGTCAAAGCGAATGAATCTGGTAAAGGAACGACTTTACATATGACTCACGGTGAAGGTTTACGTACGCATCAATCTGGACTCGATGGAAGTAGATCTTTGGAGAGATTTATGGAATGGCGTGAAAGAAGCCGGAAAATCAATTTGGGGGGTTTTGAAAAATAATTGGAAACCATTTGCAGGCTCTGTAATGGATACAGTTGCTGATATCACCGCACCAGAAACCGGTGGATTCAGTCACGAAATCCGTAAAGGAGTAAAGCAATTAACTGGGGCTGGCATGACTCAACCTCGTCGCAATCGTCGTATTGCTGCCTCGGCAAGCTTTCGACTTGGTTAAAGTCAATAGGAAAGAAGAATCCATAAGGCGTGGCTCCACTTTCTTTGTATCGCTTGAATGTGATACGCTTGTCCAACGTCGATATCTTCTCACAAAATTTTGATCGCTTATCAGGGACTTTACCAGTTGTCTCGCCACCTTTGATAATGCTGATACATAATATCTTTCTCCACGCAATATTGGCCTTGCGACTCAGTGTGTACGATTCCATTTAGTCCCGATTCATTAAGTTCATTGACATAGTTGGCAATGCCCTCATGGCTAGCAGTTGTCATAGAATCATAGATAGGCGTTCGAAAGAAGGATTTTGGCTTGGGGCTGGCAGACCGCTTCAAATATGTGTCGAATTTGCTCATCTCATTCACATTTTGATCATATCATCAATCAGCTTTCCATAATAGACCTTGTTGTGCTGTTCCACTATATCTACATCGAAAATTGTCATCTTGTCTTCGACGATGCCAATCAAGTTGTTGGAAGCACCAATAAATTCAGTGATGTTGCCATGTGCTTCTTCTTCATGGTAGAGCTTTCGACTAGATTGTACGGACTCGGTGATAGCAGACTTCATTCGCTCAAGACAATTACGAAACGAGCGCTTATCGCCCGCAATTTCCTCAAACCAGCACAATTTTTTATGTCGAAGTTGCGGCGATCCACGCTCGCTAAAGACATTAAGACGCTGAGTCATGTGAGTATTTGCTGTTTTCAGAAGACTAGTGAAGAGCTTGAAGAAATTAGACTTCCCCAATTGCTTCTCCATTGAATATAACACGAGCATAACCTTCGTCTTGTTGTCTGGACAGTGGCAAAGGCTACCAATATACTCCATCAACCACTGGTATCTCTCAGGATGATTGAAGCAAACGATACATTTCAGGTAATCAATTGACACTGGGTGCAAGTCAGATTCGGTAATTTGTTCGTGCAAATCCTTCGCCAGTAGTGGATTTGCTAAGCTGAATGTCTCCATGCCATTTGGATCATGTTCCCATTTGCAGACAGTATTTGCAAACTTGTGGAATGGAGCCGTATTGAGAAGGTCAGACAGCTTGATGGAACGTGGCTTCTTGTTTTCAATGAACTGAATTTGCACCTTGAAGCAGTTCTTTGGATCATATGCCTTGATCACAAAATTATCGTCCCGTTGGCTTATGCTTGTAGTAGGTGATATCGGTTCCTTCAAAGACGTAGAACTCGTGAATGAAGTAGAGTACAAATCGTTTAAGCACATGAAGAGACTCGAAGCTAGTAGTTTTCAACATCTTCTCGAAAGTACAAAAATTTAAATCAAAGTCACGGTTGGGCTTGTTCTCGATTACTAGATACTTCTCCGCCCAATATTCAAGCTCATCGATCTCAAATGATGTATCAACCATGGCTGAACGCATGTCGTCAATTGTTCGGCCAGTTAATTCCACCAGTTGAGTTAGTGCTGCCAACTTCCGCTCAGATTTGAATGTCAATTCGAAATCATGATCAGGTGTGGAAAGCTCAAACGTCTTCGAAGTGGAAGTTTTCCTTGGCTCTTTGATTTCATATTCATCTTTCCATTGCTTGTATGCAGCAGAATTACAGCCAGCAGCAACCCCTATCAATTTGTCTTCGTTCAGTGATGGATTATACTTGGAACCAAACCAATCATCGAAATCTTTAGTAGCACACTCCTTGTTGAAACGCATTACTTGTTGTTTGATTACACATAGATATGTCTTGCGCATCAAGTACCAATCAGAATGAGGTGGACGAGGAAAGAATCCAGCGAGATTTCACACGTTTTGGTTGTTGCTGAACCAAATATTGTGAATCATCATGTATAATTTATATAATCGATTATCGTAGATTTAGTTGCAGTGCAGTATTCCACACCGCATTCAACGGTCACTTTTCCAAATGATTCACGGTCTTCACTGGACTTAAAGAAGAAATTGCTAAGTATATATGATCCATCCAGCTCATTGAGTTGATATTGCAAGAGGTAAGTGTATCTGTAACGGGGTACGTAGCCCTAAGTGTACCCTGGTTACATGAAGTGTGACACGTCATACTTCGGGATATTTGGTACAAAGTACCAAGGTCGTTCAAAGCCAACCAACGGCTAACCACATTGCATTTCTATAGGTGGCATATAGTTTGTATTAAACCAAGCTTTATCTACCTATAAATATACTCAGTTTACATTCTACCTTAATTAGGTTACTTCGCTTTCTTTTGAATAAAGAGGGGACCTGTGAGCTGCCGTTCACTGAGAGTTTGTATACTCTCGGAAGATAACTTCCTCTAGCGCAAGGTGCTGTGTGACCCCGTCACACTTGGTAGCACTCGTAGTCAATCCACGCCACCGCGGGTAGACTACCTGAACCTCTTCGAAGTTCATTGCCACGGATAGGAGCGACTTCTCCCATATGAATGACTCTCAGTTCGAGTCGGTTCGGAAGGTGGCAGGCATCGTCGGGATGGAGGCCCTGCAGAGCCTGGTGGTGTCAACATCGGCCGAGCAGATCGAGCGCGTCAATGCGTTCGAAGCGTACGAGCAGGGCCTCATCGCGCATGTGCGGGAGAACCTACAGGCTCCGGCGGCGGAAGCAAATCCGCCTCACCCGCAGCCAATACAGCTGAAGGTTAAGCAGTACGAAGGGAAGGAAGGCGAGAACCTTCACTTCTGGGTCCGAGAAGTAGAGCTCGCGATGGACGCGGCTCTGATCTCGACCGAGCAACTTCGTGTTGCTTTTGCACTCTCCAACCTTAGTGGCCGTGCTAAGAGTTGGGTGTACACACGGGAAGCAATATCCCCTGGATGTAAAACATCCAGGGGATATTGCTTGGGCTCAGCTTTGTGAACAGCTCCGAGCCGCGTTCCTTACGGCGAGCTTCGAGTACCGCCAGCGTTCGCGCTTCCTCTCGTGTAAACAAGAAAGGCGCGAACTGCACGAGTATGTGCAAGAGATACGGGGCCTCACCGTGTCCCTAGTGGGAAACCACTCATCGAACACATCAAGATGACTGTGTTCATGGACGGCCCCGCACGCACTCACCTGTTCCGGGTGCAGTCAAGCACCCTTGAAGAGGCGACTCAAGTGGCTCTTCAAGAAGCGTACCGCCATCGCCAGGCGCGTACGCCGGCCTCAGCGTGGCCTGGGAGTGCCTTGTCGGCCCCCGGTCGAACAAGCTCCAACGGAACAGTTCCTATGGAACTCGGGTCCACCGATCAGCGGGATAGCCGCTGCTTCGGCTGCGGGAAGATGGGTCACTTCAAGCGCGACAGTCCCGCGGAAAGACTCCGCAGACGGTCCTTCTCCAAGCCCGCTCTCAAGGGTCGCTGGCAGGAGCCAGGATCCAGGGGAACGCCGGGAACCAGTAGGGGCGGGGCGCCCTACTGGGGAAGAACTAAGTCTTCGTGATGAAAGCGCGGGTGGCGCGTACCACGGGAACTTAGCCCCTGAGAGTTTTCGCACTCTCGAATCGGCGAAGAACAGCGGCGGGCTGCTCGTAGTACACGGATGCGTACGGGGATACGATCATCCCTCTAGAATCTTGATCGATTCTGGGGCGTCGAAGAATTTCGCACGCCGCCAGACTTTTGCTCGCACCAGCAACAAGCTGTCCGATGCTTTGAGAGAAAGCAAGGGCAACGGGACGGTGTCAGTGCAACTGGCCGACGGGAAGGTCGTCACTGTCCCCAACGTCCAAGTGAATCTGGCCGTCAAGTTTGAAGAATTTGACAGCCTCGAACAGTTCACTATTCTCGATATGGATCCATATGATATGATCCTGGGTATGCCCTGGCTTGAGAAGCACGAGCCCTGGATCTACTGGCGAGGCAAGGCAATCGGTGCTAGCCACCCTGTGCAGTCCGACAGAGCATTGGTGAGTCATGTTCCCACCTCTGTCAGGACCCGGGGCGCCGGCAAGGGCTGCCAGGGTACCAAAGCATCCGGCAGGTGCTTGGGAGTCGTCGACGTATATGACGACTCCGAGGATGTTTTGATGATGACCGCGCCCAGAAAAGGCGCTGGCCAAGTGGGTAACTTAGGTCCACAGGCGGGTAACTTTGTTCCGCAGACAGCTGCAGCTGTCATGGACACCGAGAACAGTGTGTTCAGAGTGGGTAACAGAGTTCCACTCACGGTCGCCCAGACCTTAACGGAAGAGGG